CTCCCGGTCGGGACGAGCGCGGGAATCATCAGCGTCGGGATTCAAACGACAAACACACGTGAGGATGCAGCTCGTCTGTCGGTCCTCGGCCACCTCCGCCGTCATGCCGGCGCCACTCACCTCGACCAGGTGTTCGTACAGCAGCACGCGGTGGAAGCCGGGCTCGACCGTCTCGTGCTCGTCGCTCAGCTCTACGTCCTGCAGCATACGCGAGCAGAGGGCGCGTGCTGCGTGCTGCCAGTCGCGCTCCGTCTTGAGCGGCGGACCGGCGCCGCGCCGCCGCCGGCTGGCGAGCACGGCGCGCGGGTCTCGCTGCACGACCAACACCTTGAGCCGGCCGCGCCAGCGCGTCACCAACGACCGCACGTCGTGGAAGAAGGCGCGCACCACGTGCACCGACACGGTGTCGGCGGCGCGGCACACCCGCTCTAGACACGCCGCCACCGACACGTTGGCCGGCACGCAGTGACTGCGGAACACGGTGCGGAAGGCATGCTGGCGCCACAGGTGTGGTTGGTGGAGGCGCGCAGCGTTGGCGCTCAGATTGCAGCGCAACGTGTCATCCAGCAGGCGGAGGCCGTCGGCGAGCGGACCGGCCGCCAGCGGCTGGACGCCGCTGTGCCGGCCCTCGTCGTCCAGCGGCACCAGCGGCTGGTGGTGGTGTGACACGGCCGGCAGCAGGTTCAGCAACTCGGACGCCGCCGCGCCGCCGGCGCCCTCGTACGAGAGCACGAGCACGGCCGGTGGCGCGCGCCGGGCCGCTGGAGTCGGTGGGGGCGCAGGAGGAGGGGGGTGGGGCGGTGTCGGCCGCCGCGCCGCCGACCGTGGCCGGGCCGCGCGGAAGCGGTGGTCTGCGGCGAGGCGGCGCAGGACGGTGTTAGTGAGGTTACATTGTCCGACAGTCTACACAGCACTAATTTCATTGTTAAAAATCGCGCAGCTGGTGGGAGGTCCGTTCGTCGTCAAAGGGGCGACGCCAGTAGCTGACTAGGCTCTCTTGCCTTTAATGCCATTAGTCACGACAACGCGGTTTCATTTGTCCGTCACTTGGCACGGCCTGTGCTGCCCTCGACATGCCAGGATTACCGGACGTGGTTTCTCTAGGTATGGCATGGAATTTGAACACAATCAGTTTGCAAACCCTAGTTCTACGTCAGTCAGTTACTGTTTCTTTGTCGGAACAGTTTCGCGGGAGCGACTGTGCCCGCTGGGCCCGACTACTCACGTTTACGCGTGCTGAGCAACATGATTGTGTTCACGATCACCAGCACGATCAGGATTAGGATCAACGCGTGCTTGCAGCTTGCGGTACATCGCAGGAACATGACGAGGCCAGGCCAATGCGGCGCTGTGGTGCCGACCGTGCTCACTAGCGTCAGTTCAGACGCGCGCTGGGCTGGAGGAAGTCCGACCGCATTACTGTCCTGGTGTCAAGTGTGTCGTCGATAAGCCAACAGCGAAAAAGTGCGCGGCACTGGCTGAGTTCACGGTGCGGTCAGCTTCTGCTCAAACAGCCACAGCTGCTGTTCGGCCCGTGGTGTGGTGGTCAGATGCCGGCCAAACGGTCCGGGGTTTGTCAGCCCGTGTCGTGGGAGCGCCGGCGCCTGGTCGCGCTCGGCCTCCTGGCGCCGCTGCTCGTCCTGTTTGTACTGGACGCACACGGTGCCGAGTAGCTAAGTAGTCAGGTGACGATGGGGTGGGGTCTCGTCCAGCTGGGGCTGTCAGGTGACGATGGGGTGGAGTCTCGTCCTGCTGGAGCTGTCAGGTGACGATGGGGTGGGGTCTCGTCCAGCTGGAGCTGTCAGGTGACGATGGGGTGGAGTCTCGTCCTGCTGGAGCTGTCAGGTGACGATGGAGTGGAGTCTCGTCCTGCTGGAGCTGTCAGGTGACGGTGGGGTGGAGTCTCGTCCTGCTGGAGCTGTCAGGTGACGATGGGGTGGAGTCTCGTCCAGCTGGAGCTGTCAGGTGACGATGGGGTGGAGTCTCGTCCAGCTGGAGCTGTCAGGTGACGGTGGGGGGTGGAGTCTCGTCCAGCTGGAGCTGTCAGGTGACGATGGGGTGGAGTCTCGTCCTGCTGGAACTGTCAGGTGACGATGGGGTGGAGTCTCGTCCAGCTGGAGCTGTCAGGTGACGATGGGGTGGAGTCTCGTCCTGCTGGAGCTGTCAGGTGACGATGGGGTGGAGTCTCGTCCAGCTGGAGCTGTCAGGTGACGGTGGGGTGGAGTCTCGTCCTGCTGGAGCTGTCAGGTGACGATGGGGTGGAGTCTCGTCCAGCTGGAGCTGTCAGGTGACGGTGGGGTGGAGTCTCGTCCAGCTGGAGCTGTCAGGTGACGGTGGGGTGGAGTCTCGTCCTGCTGGAGCTGTCAGGTGACGGTGGGGTGGAGTCTCGTCCAGCTAGAGCCCGCCCACTTCTGCGGCAGGCTCAGTCTGGGCGTGCGGCCGCACTGCCACCGCGTCACTCGCAAGCGCACCTTGCACGGGAGACACGAACTCCGCCGTCACTGTGGATGGACAGCGCCGACCGGGCGGGCTTCGGTGTCTTGTTGTCAGTGCCGTCAACGGCCTCGTTGTGGTCCGCGGACTGCGGTCTGGCGTCAGCGGCGTCGCTGCCGTCCGCGACGGATCGCGCGCGCCCGGTATCGACTGAAGCGCCGCGCCGACCCCGCCGCTGCCGCCGGCTCCGTTTCCACGATCATGCATCATTAAGTGGGAGCCGCCCCCTACCGTCTGGGCTGCGACCCCGACCCTGATGTTCAGGACCACCGCATGCACTGCCGCCAGTGAGGGACGCCTTTGTCTCGCTGTCCGGGCCGTGCCCGGCCGCTGTCGCCGATATGGCCGCTGCCCTTGCCGGCTCGTGTAGCGTGTTAGTCACGCTCGACTGTGTGCGGCGTCGCCAAGTAGTTACAGCAGGTGTGGGGTGCCCTTTATTACGTCATGGCCTTTTGACACAAATGGTGGTTCGGAAACCGTGTGGTTCGCCGACGCCGCCTGTGGGCGGGGCTGAGGGCCGGCACGGCTGGCGGGGCTCGGTGGTCCAGCTGGCGGGGCTCGGCGGTCCAGCTGGCGGGGCTCGGTGGTTCGGCTGGCGGGGCTCGGTGGTCCGGCTGGCGGGGCTTGGTGGTCCAGCTGGCGGGGCTCGGTGGTTCGGCTGGCGGGGCTCGGTGGTTCGGCTGGCGGGGCTCGGTGGTCCGGCTGGCGGGGCTTGGTGGTCCAGCTGGCGGCGCCCGGTGGTCCGGCTGGCGGGGCTCGATGGTCCGGCTGGCGGGGCTCGGTGGTCCGGCTGGCGGGGCTTGGTGGCCGCTGTGCTGCGAGCCGACCCGGTAACCCGGGCGTGGTGTGTGGGGCTCCTACGTTCTCTCAGTGGCGTTCTCGAACGAACGCCCCACCAAACTCGAGCCGGCTTACCGACACGAGCTGAAATCACCGGCGCTCGCTGAGAGCGGCAGGAGTGTGGGCGAGAAGGACATTACTCATCAGCTTCGCAAGAAGTAACAGTTCTGGCTTTTTTCTTAGTTCAACGAAAGTTTGCAGTATTTTTTCTTTGGTCGTTTTTCTTACACTATTTTCTTCTATCTTTTCATGTTGCAAGTTATGCTCACCCACACAATCGGGGTAAGACATTTCCGTTTTGGATTTAAGGGCCAGTTTCTCCATTTCTTCAATAATTTCCACTGTGTATTTTACTTCTGCAGAATTTGGCTGAGTTTTTACATCGTTTTGTTTTGTTTAATGCTATAATAACCTATTTTCGTTCACAATGTGTTAGCGTTTATTGCGGTGCTGTCATCCATCTACGGCCGAAGTAGTTCTTCGACAGACTGAATAACTCAATAAGACCATATGAGACTGCAGAATCTGATTTCTATAAGAATGCATTGTTGAAAACATTCCAGTGTAGCGTAAACTTGGCCGCGTAGCCTTCGGTGCAAGGGGAACAGATCGGGTGTCAGCAACACAGCTCCGGCCAGTTTTTTTAACGTTAAATTTCAATCAAACTGGACTGGCATTCATTGCGGAGCATTTTGTGGTGGCCGGAAAGGCGGCTCAATGAGAATCGGGTACTTTTTTATGTTTTGTTTTTTTAGTTCCACCGGGGTTTTCCTATCCGATGAACGCGGTCACACTGTTCGTTACATACGCGCTCAACGGAGGATTCAGTACGGTTTGTCACCCTTGCGGGACGGTTCATCCGCTTGCGCTCATGTTGCACAGGTGGCACTTGTACACACGCTGGGACCACCCTGGTGTCGGGACTGTCCTGACTCCTCAAGCCTGTGAATCAGGGGGACTGCGACACGGAGTGAGGTGACATGGAGTGAGGCCGTACCCCCGGGAAATGCCAACGTACCGAAGGGTCTATTTAAATTCAGACCATGTTCGGGAACCCACAGCCGTGGGCTGGTGGCCGTTAATCCCGCGTTAGCGCGATTACCCCCAGCTGCTGTCACTTCCTAGGTAGAAGATGGTCGAGGACTTGATGCCTTGATGCCAGACTTACCGAGGACAGACTTGAACTACAGACCTGCCACCAGCCTTACACGCGCATTAACCAACCGCGCCACCGAGATGGCCGAAAACACTTCGCGCATGGTCAAAGTCACTGAGGCATCGAGTTTGCTGGCTGAATTATCAGGGCGTGCTGGCTGAGGCATCGGATGTGCTGGCTTAGACATCGAGTGTGCTGGCTGATGCATCGAGTGTGCTGGCTGAGGCATCAAATGTGCTGGCTGAGTTGTCAGGGTGTGCTGGCTCAGACATCGGGTGTGCTGGCTAGGGCATCAAATGTGCTGGCTGAGGCATCGGATGTGCTGGCTTAGGCATCAAATGTGCTGTCTGAGGCGTCGGATGTGCTCACGACACCTGTGGGACGACAAATCGGTCACATTAAGCCCCAATCCTTGCATCTGCCCCGTCCGCGCCCGTCGCGCCCGCCCTGTCCTCGGCTGATGGCCGGAGCGGCCGATAGTGACCCCCACTGTGTCCGGTCTTCGGTGCAGGGCTGCAAGGAGCGGCACGACTTCTTCAACAAGACGCTGCCTTACTGGAGCGCCGTGCGCAGTTCCGACTACGGCTACACCCGCCTGACTGTGGCCAACGGCTCCCACCTCTTCATCGAGCAGGTGTCCGACGACAAGGTGAGCCTGAGGAGGCCAGACGGCCCGAACTGAGCTGGTCGCGGCTCTGATCGGGCCATAAAAGTGCAGATGAATGTCGTAGGGCCGTGCTAGTCTTGATAGCTGATTGGTTGTGGCTCACACGCTCTTTTCTAACCGAGTCTCCGCTGCAGCTGGTACATATATGCTGTTTGGTGGGCCAGTGATAATTTAATGTACGTGATGGTCAAATTACCTCCTGTTTCTTGCATTTTGGCTGCTATGTTGAGGGGCTTTTCAGTTTATCTGGCGAGTGGGTTGGTGGGTTGGTTGGATGCTTTAGTGGTTTTCAAGAAAGTGCTTTAAAGGTGGTCTAAGGGTGGTAAAAAGTGTATGTCAGTGAAAAAGTGTTGAATAAGGGCTAGTCGTAGTCGTAAATTCCCCAGTTTAGGCGAATGCGTCGGTTGATAGGCTCTCAACGCTTGTTTGTTTGACCCAGTGCACATTTAGTTCCACCTAGCATGCATCTCATCTGCTGCGGATGTCTTGATTGGTCTGATGAAGCTAAGCGCGCAAACACTTCCGCTGTTGCACATACCGTGGGTTCCAGCGCCGACCAAATATGCAGAGGAAGGTCGCCCGGGCCCTGGTGACCCTTTTTAAAGCAGTGTTCCCGGCGCGCCCGCAGGATGGCGCTGTGATCGACAGCCTGTGGATCCGGAAGGAAGCCCACAAGCCATTCAGCCAGCTGCGCAAAACAGAGCGAGGGTATCTGTAGTGGCGCTGCTCCTCTGCTCCGTGGAGAGGCCGGCTACGGGGACGATCAGGGAAGGCCAGCCTGCACGTCTTGGCCTCCCTGTTTTCTGATTGCCACAGTGTACTGAACTCGCAGCACGTGTACCCGACGGAAGCATCAATCTATTGAAGGACCTCGTATAATGATCTATTTTAGCCGTAGGCTCTGGTCAAGAGTTGAAGCAACGTGCATAGGCCATATGTACCATACCCTTGTACTCGATCTCCCATGCAGTGTGTTTACCGATGTTTAAATCTCGTGTTTTATCACCGGGCTGATCGCGTATTTTGTCTGTGAACAGGCTGTGTCATTAATCCCGCGGGATTCGGCTTATACGGATGTTGACTGTGCATGAGGGTTGTAGCAGGACATGCGTCTCTCCGGGTTAATGGTGAAAATAACGGGTGTAGGCCGTCCAAAATAAATGTCCCACACATGCGACTACTGCGAAAGGTGGAGGCCAGTTCGGCGCGATATGGGCGCATGCTCTAAGACCTAACGAGATTTTTTCTTTATCTCATGTAGCCTAAAATCGTGTCGCAAACTGGATGTGACTACTTGCACAAATTTGTGAGCTTATGGACAATGATCGTAGTTGATGAGACTGAACTACGGTCTTTTTGTGTCATCAGTCGACATTTTATTAGAATGCGTGTATGTATAGGTGGTACGCTGTAGACTGGAACAAGCGTGGGAGTTCCGAGTTTGCTCCTGAAGCAACGGACGCGCTGAACGGCCCGCTGCACCACATGTGTGTTGCACAGTGGTGCATGTGTGCTGTTACACAGTCGTCTCCGCTTGTTCTCCGTCGTATGCGCCGACTCGGCCAGTTTGTTCTTGTCATGCACCAATTTAAAATGTGCGAGGCGACTGGAGTAACGGATAGGAAAGAAGTCGCCTGGCTTGTTCTTCGCCAGATATATTGGTTTACTCTGCATGCAAACCGCTGTGAAGGTGTCATCGGTTGGCGCGGTGGCCGAACTACTTACCTGAACGATGACACAGCCGATTAGCGTACATATAGTACATAAAGTGCTCACATGTGTTGCACTTTGTGTTTTGCAAAGGTGACCATTAATCCCAGCATGCACGTATATCAATAAACATGCAGTATATCATATCAGTATGTTGTATATCAGCAAACAAACATTGGTCTCGGTGATCGTTCATAGCCCCAGCACTAGGGGTACCCTGGCATGGGAGCCTGCGTCGGCAAGGACCCCCTGAGCTGTCACACAACCCGTGCAGCCGTGCTCTCGTGGAACAAGGGGCGGTGACGACACCAAGTCCAACCGCAAGTGACGTAACTGATGCAGTTGCTCGCTCGCGGTGCCCGGAGAGCCCTATCCACCTTTTCGCCGACAACATTGGTGATGTGGGTTTGTTCCTTCCGTCTGGATAGCAGGCTGTTGCCGCGCTGTCTATTTGGCCGAACAACGATGTCCGTACATCGCAGTGAGAGGACCTTACGTCAGATCACGTCACGCTCCTCTTGAAAGTGTGACCGATTTTCCATTATCCTTGTTTTCCATCACTTTGCGCAATGTTTCATTTCATATCTATTTATTTATTTATAACACGTCAAGCTCACTCCAATTAGAATGTGGCTTTTACAGAGCCCGTGTCATGGAAATAAAACACCGTAGATCAGGGAGGCTCGCGCAAACACGTACACACGTAGGCACACATACGCAGAACGCACTCACATTCGCTTAAGTCATTTGAAGTAGGTGTCGCTATCCGTTATTGATCTGCCGCTGCAGGATATAACTACGCAACTCGCAATTGAATTGTGGAAGGCTCAGCTCGCGGATATTCTGCTGTAGTGCGTCGTAGGCGGTCACGGTGCAGTAAGCAAAACGCCGCCTTCCCAATTCAGATCTGATCACCGGCACATGTAACATATCCTGCCTCGTTGTGCGATGGTGAACATGACGTCTATGGATAAGGTGATCACATAGCGACTCCGGCTGGGATCTTGCCAGCATACGTTTCAGAAGTGTCAGTGTATGATATAAGAGCATGTTGTCAGCAGACACCCACTCGAGATCTAGTAAAACATCGCTCGCATGATCATATTTCCGACGCCCAGAGATGAATTGTGCCGCGAAGTTCAGCAGCTTCTGCAGTCGTGATGTTTGAGTAGTGTTACATGTTCCGTACACACAGTTGCAGTAACGGATTACTGAGATGACTAGACCCTGGACTAGAGTAATGAGTGTGGCCTGAGGCAGACTGTGCCGGCTGTGGCTGAGGCCGATAAGAACGCCAGTGCATCGTCGCACGACGTCATCAGTGTACGCAGTAGACGTCATTCACTGGTCAAATACAACGCCCAAGTTTCGAACGGAAGAAGAGCTGACCACAGTGGCGCCCATAAATTCGATGCTAGTCGGTGGCAGGTTCCGAAGATTTTGACGTGTGCCGAGGACTATGAGCTGTGTTTCTGTCGTTAATTTTCATTCCGTTTTTGGCAAACCATTTGGACAGGTGTGAAGGATGTTGCTCCATGGATGTGATCAGCCTACCAATGTCACCGGGCCTCCCACTCACCAAAACCTGCGTGTCGTCCGCGTACTGCACCGTATCCGCAATATCCGTTGCTTGGTATGACCTACGCTGTACAGTCAAAGATGTCGGTGCGCTGCGCGGCGATGCCAGATTTGAACGTGGTTCGGCCTTCGGCGTTCTGATGTGTTTCACCAGCTGATGCTCCTCAACCTGAAAAATGGCCTGGCCTGGGGAAAAGGAAGGGGTCGGGTAACCTGAATTCAGACCGTAACTGCCAAGGGTCACTTTATAAATGTTACTAACTGTAACTGTAACTGTTATTTTCTAAAATCCTTTGCGGGGGGGGGGGGCGTTGAGCTTAACCTACAGTGTTAATCTTACCTTCCCTAAAACGTTATTCATCCCCAAATTCCGGGCATAGTATTGCTTCAGAGAAGAATGACTCCCTATTCCAAGCCCATACGAAACTAAAGCTTTGTTTGGGGGGTTACGGCTGGTGTAAATCACACAGAATATCTTGGTAAGACGGTTCGATACGGTCACCGCAACAAGCTCTCATTGATCGTCCATGGAGGGTGGTCCGAGCCACAAGACAAATGGCCGCAGAATGACGTAACCCGACACGTGCAGACAACAGAAGATTATGCACATGATTAGCCGCGGAGGGGCTAATCATCATGTATCGCATCATGGTGCACTGCCAGGAAGTACCTAGGTAGCGGCACGAGGTCAGCATATCAAACGTGGGCCACCAATAGGTGGCGCGAACGAGTGTTATTGTTGTGTGCGTGACATTGTGTATCGTGTGAGAACTGAATGTTTCCATAGGTTCATTGTACTGTTTTGTGCTGGTAAATAATATGAGTGATATGCTTACTAAGAACCACAGCTATTGTATGACCGCTAATGGCACATTGACTACAATCCCCGGGCAGGTATTTGCTGCTGTGAAGTTATGTCACACCGACCCATAGCGAATCAACAGAGCTCACGTCGACCCGTTTGGTGGCCATACACGTGTCTGACGAGACCTAAACAAGTGGTTTGGATAGCACCCGTCTCCGTACAACGCCCCCGGTTCCGACCCTCGCTCGTCTTCGAGCACCCCGGGCCTGCTCGCTCTGATGCTGACTCTCGCTTGTCAACGACCAGTGTTCGCCTGCCCTCTGAACCAATTCTGGAACCTCTCGGCACTTACGTTGGCGTCCAGCCTCGTGATGAGAACGTGTTATTTCGGAAAATCAACGTTTTTTGGCCATCAAAACAAATCGAGGAAATCTGCGGTTCATACGAGCTCAAAATTGGAGCACCGGCAAACGGATCACTGATCAACAAAAAACACAAAAAAGCAACCGCGCACAGTCCAAGGCTCCGCTTAAAACAACTGAATTTTGGGGCAAGCAAGTGAAAGTCTCCCTGCAACATGCCCGGGACATCAATAAAGGCACCATCATTGCGCCTGAGTTCCGTCTAAGATGGAGGACGAGGTCCTGGCTGGGCTCAGAGACGAGCAAGTTTGCCATGTCCGACGGCTGACGACTTTCAGAAACGATCAGCGTCGCGACACCAGCCTGCTCGTTATCACCTTCACTACCAACCGACTTCTAGAAACGCTCACCGCTGGTTACCTTCGTTATTAAGTACGAGCATTCATTCCAAATCCACTCAGGTGTTTCACATGTCAACGGTTCGGACACGGCAGCGGTACTGCAAGTAGAGTGCCAGATGCCTTAATGGGAATATTTCACATTTGAATATATTAGGATAAGCATCAGACGTGATGGGAAAAGCTCCAGTGGTATGCTTTCGAGGTTTAAAAACGACCCTAAGTAGCAAAATGTCAAAGTTTGTAAAAATGCGCCCCATTGCGTCAGTTTGATGGCGTCGTGGAATCGTTTTGTGTCGACAACAATGTCTGACAGCATCTGGCAGCCAGACCTAAAGAACACCTCGCAACGCACGAAAGCTGACGCCAGCTGGCCATTCTTGTCGCGGGTGCTGCGTTAGGTGGTGGATTAGTGAATGGCTTGTTTGTGGATGTTTTGTCTTGGTCCTGGCCATAAGAGAGGTTTTGGTGGGCTGCTTGGCATAAGTAACGTAGCGCTCGCCAGCTTTTAGGACAGATTATTAACATCAAAACACAACATGCTGTGGAAACCGTCACATAACGTCGTGAATCCCTTACCGAAACCTGCCAAGAACTGTTGAGAATGTCTACTGTATCGTCGACGTATCCCTGCCTGCAGTGTTTATTATTTGTGATCGTAAATGCAGTTGCATGCATTTACAGGCCTTTTGCTTTTCATTTCATTCAGATTAACAAATCTGTAGCATTGCTATGAATTTATTGCCAACGCATTGCTGTTTCTCTGGTAAAGATGGCAAGGTTGAGCTACCAACAATCTGTTTCCTGCCCAGGCTTATTTATGCAATTACTAGTTAACCCTGATATAACCATTGTGGTGCAACAGCATTCTCGCTGGTGATAGTCCTTCGACGTTGTTAAACCAGTTGCTACCAGTCATTTATAAATTATAAAATGTTATCTCATAGGCTTGACAAGGAGTAGTCAACCAAGTGGTATATTGTGTACTGGCACGGGTTAACGGTGTCATCGTCGCACTACCTCAGTGCCGCACTGTGGCATGGCATAATGAACAATAATACAGCTTTTGTACTGCGATCCTTGCTGCTTTCATAATAAATTACATGATGAAAAGATGGGTCAGGCATGCATTATTGTATTAACTCCACATCTGACATATGACTGACCAAAAACACACGATACAATACACAAATCACGCTCAGCAAAGCACGCAACCAATAAGTGGCATCACTTGCTCAGCCTGTTTGGGAATCCACAAAATATAGGTGACAAATATGCAAACACGTCTTCTGCTTCCACAGCCATGCAACATGCTGCAGCCATCAGGCTGCTTTACTAAGAATGCTGGCAACATACGCAATAGCACATGTATGACAAGAAAACACTGCCATGGAACTGCAAACCTGCTGACCTTGCACAAGGCTGGAGGCATGAAAAGTGCATGTAGTCATGGTTAGGTGGGCGAAATGCAAGGGAGTGATGAAGCTGCTTGTGCACTCAAGGCTCATGATAAAAATATTGCGAAGTGCCATCCAAGAAACCAACAGCAATACTTTTCCACCTTTTCCAGCACGGAGCATCTCGCACAAGTTGCAGTGACTAGGACATTGATGACTTACAAGCAATACTAGGCTGCATAAAAATTTCTTAAAACAGTAGTATGGCAGCTATGATAATGCAGCACTACATTTCCAGAATTCTTAAGGGAAAGACAATTTTGCAGAGTCATATCATGCGAGCTTACACCATACATGTGCATTAATGAGCTGTACGGACCTGCTCCTACTGCCAAAATGAATTGCTAATATGATGGCATGCAATGGATTAGGTACGTACTGTGACACCTCAAAAGGCTCAAAATGTTGGCAAGGCCATAATGAGGTAGAAAATTGCCTTTGAACATCGCTGCAGCATGGGTGCTAGTGCTTCTTTCAGTTTGCCGACATAACTACCTTGTCATGTTCAAACGCAAGCCTAAAGATAGAGGCAGGTATCAATATATCACATTTTATTGGGAGTCATAAAATTCAAAGAATGCCAACACAATTCCCTCCCAGAAGTACAAATCTCGCACGACACTCCCCGTCACATTAAGATCAATACAAGCCACTGGCACGCGCCACCAGTGATCACACCCGTTCCAAGTGCCCGATTCACACTTCAATGCCAAATAAGTGCGATCCCACACTTGCGCAGCCCGCGTGACTATCAAATTGCAGGTTTTCTCGCAATTTCCGCACAGGTTTCGAGTGCCGCACGTTTCGTTGGTGACGAGAGCCGCACAACCCGAAAGTGCTCACACTTACGTTCGCGACACGCATTCAGCAGCGAAATCTCACTAACATCCAATCACCTTCCGCAGATTGTATCATACGTGCCGCATCATCCCTCTCGCTAAGATATCGGCGGCCATTCTGTTCTGACCATCAACAGAAAACAGCCTGTAATACAACGGCAATCGTATGACGCTGCTATGACGATATCAATGCCATGGTGAATTTGGAGAAGTCTCCTAATAAACCTTTTCGCACTTTTGTGAGCGTATAACCCGGGAACCAGAAGGTTTTGGGTCTTAAAAAGGGCATGACCGTGAACCGCATCAAAAGGTCCTCAAGATGGCTATTTCAGTTCAAAAACCCCATGTAAAGGTGGAACATTCCCTTTAAGTGAGGCGAGACTCCTCACGAGGGGACTACCAGCACATCTCCCCAGAATTGTCTCAGCTGTGGGAGCGTTGATCACGCCGCCATCTCCTCCCAGTGTCCCACCCGAAAAAACATTTGCTCAGAAAAAGCTAAGACAGGTGCGTTCTATGCTAAGGCACGGCGCACTGTCAGTCAAAAATGTCCCAGTCCAATCAAAACATATGCACAGGCAACAAAAGCCACGATGGCTACATGCGGGACACAGACAGACTCCATTCTCCAGCTGCCTCCCCCGAAGCTCCTCACTCATCCCTCATCTGCCTCAATTGAGTCGACCACGCAGACCCTGACAAAAAACGGAATTGAGTCGCTCCTGGCTGTGCGCTCGAATGCCCAGGCGCTCGTGCACTAACGTCCCCAGGCTGGCCGGCGTTCCAGCCCGCCAGCTAATGCGTGGTCCACGTGCGACTCAAGCCGTTCGGCGTCCTAGCCCTCCAGCCATAAACAGTCGGCAGCCCGGTCCTTCTGGCCGTCACACGAAACATGGCCTCCCCCCGCCCCCCCCCCCCCCCCCCCCCCGCCCACCACAACACCTGCCAACGCCCGAACGAAAGCCGACGGTCCCGTCCATCAGCGAGGATGGCGATGCAACGACCACGGTCTGTCTCGTTTGGTCGATTTCCACCAACCGATGGGAATGGATCCCTTCATCATTAAATGTTTGTCATCTGGCAGTGGAATTGTCGCAGTCTTGTTTCAATATGGTCTGGAATAAAGGCACTTTTTGTTCTGTTACATGCAACCATCATCGTCGTACAATAGACACAGCTTCGTCCCACCGACATATATAACTTTAAAATGCCGAAGTACTTGTTATATCGCTGTGACGCCACGGACGGCAAGCGTCGTCAAGGTGTGGTGGCGCTGTACATCAGTCAAGAATTAACACAAACTGGGATGGGGTTCAGATGACCCCCCGAAGGTCTTTCGGAATTATTTCGGAACGGCGGCTACGCAGCTGCGCCAGTCTCCATAGTTGTAGACAACTGAATAGTGGATCACTAAGTATCACAACTTTAGATGCACCTTGTAAGGTCGCTGACCTACGGCAGGGCGAAGTTAGACCATGGATTCTGCGAAGTCAGTAATAGCAGTGTCCCAGAATTGCCGACTCTGAGTGTAAAGCAACACCCTATGAGGTCAGGGTGACTTTCCTACCCAACGTTAGAAGAAAATCATTGTACACCATTCGTCGTGTTTAAGGCAGGACATATTCGTAAATAATCTCAAAACAGGTAGAATCGTGCTCCTACCTTCGAATTTCAATAACTTCGTGGCGGGCTCCCGAGCGCCGCGCGCACCGCACCGCCTGGACTCCCCAGCGCCGTTTCTGCGTTGCCGTTGCGTAAATACAATATTTCTGCTTACCAAGAACTCTACAAAATGTACGGGACCAAGGTAAACCATTCGTCGTGTTTAAGGCAGGACATATCGTAAATAATCACAAAAAGGTAGATTCGTGATCTTACCTTCAATTTTTTAATTACGATGGCGAGCTCCCGAGCGCCGCACACACCAGCACCCGCGACACCCGCCATTACTGCGCGGGTCACAACATTACTGCGCATCAAGCAGCATCAAGAACCATAAAAATGTACCGGGCCAAGGTAACAAGAATCCATGAAATTTGATCCTCGACGCCAACGGGACCATGGGTTGCAGGGGGATTGGGTGGGGAATGTAAAGCAAAATGAGAACATGGCAGCTAAATAAAAGTTCACTATATGACACCTATAAATGACATGGAACATGGACGCCAATGGGACGCTGGGTTGAAGGGGATATAGGGTGGGGAGGTTAGGTTAGGTTAGGTTGGGTTAGGTTAGGTTGGGTTAGGTTAGTTAGGTTATTAGGTTAGGTTAGTTAGGTTAGGCGTTAGGTTTAGGTTAGGTTAGGTAGGTTAGCTTAGCTAAGCTTAGGTTCTGGTCTATTCTCAGGTTAGGTTAGTTAGTTAGGTTAGGTTAGGTTAGGTCAGGTTAGCTTAGATTAGCTCAGCTTAGGTTCTGGTCTATTCTCAGTTAGGTTAGGTTAGGTTAGGTTAGGTTAGGTTAGGCTAGTTTAGGATATGTTCTGGACTATTCTGGCCTGTGTGTTTCATAAATGTACCTAAACTCGATAAGAAACGATTTTGGCTGTTTTATGTTTACCATGGTCCCGTACACGCTTTATGGTTCTTGATAAGCAAAATATTGTGCTTCGAACAACGCAGAAACGGCGCTTGGGAGTCGAGGCGGTGCAGTGCGGTACGTGCGGCGCTCGGGAGCTCGCTATTGTATTTATCAAAATTCGAGGGTAGGAGCATGATTCTATCTGTTTTGAAATTATTTACGACATGTTCCGCCTTAAACACGACGAATGGTGTACCTTGGTCCCGTACATTTTGTAGAGCTCTTGGTAAGCAGAAATATTGTATTTACGCAACGACAACGCAGAAACGGCGCTGGGGAGTCCAGGCGGTGCGGTGCGCGCGGCGCTCGGGAGCCCGCCACCGAAGTTATTGAAATTCGAAGGTAGGAGCATGATTCTACCTGTTTTGAGATTATTTACGACATGTGCCGCCTTAAACATGACGAATGGTGTGCAATGATTTTTTCTATCGTTAGGTAGGAAAGTACACCTACACCTCCTATGAGGAGGAATTTTTCACTCCTTTTCCCCATATTTTAGGTGAATTTTTCACTCCTGCCTTACATTGTCTAATCGCACATGCCAAACCCCTACTTCCCTTTCTGAGGTTTTCAGATGTCATCCAAAACCGAGCTCACCTGAAATCACCAAGCATAAACGAGGCTCCGCAGAATCTGGACACCTATGGCTATGTCGCGCCTCACCTACATCTGAATCACGTTTATGTATGCACAGAGCAGGGGCTCCAGGTACCTCCAAGTCCTAGAACCCCATCGACCCCAGCCGCTTGCACACAGTAAGTTTGGTTTGTTTACAAAATGCATCACAATCTGCAGCTGTGCGCCAAATGCAAGGTTTTTACGCATCCCCTATTTGTTTGGTCTCACCACCACACCACGAAAGCGGAGCCTGGTACAAACACCAGCAAGGCCTGGTAGAGAATTTTACTCCACGTGCTTCTTTTTTCCCGGGGGAAACTTGACCACTAAATTGCATCACTTCCGAAATGCATGAGTGGAAAGTTCAAGAACTGTCTTCTAATTTAAACTTGCAAGATGAATATCACCATTTGAGCACTAACATTAACAGATTTTAAGCCAAATCAGCTGATAACAAAATTTTGCGAGCAAAGTACCAGTCTTTATATTTATTTAGCTACTTTTGTTTTTCTTGGTATCATACCAGTGTGATGCCACTTTATGCTTTCTTTCTTTTCGATTGTCTTTAGAGGTACAATCTGCCGCTTAAAATTTAGATTAATTTCTGTGCAAGATGCTCCAAATGCAAATTTGTACGTATTTCATACATAAATTGGATCAATTCGCCAGCCGCCCAAACATGTTTGATATGCACCCAAGCGTGAACAATTCGCAGGGAATGAAGGAGACAATTTGAAGGACGAAACTTATTTTACCGCCATTTTGGCCCTTTTAAATCTTCGGTTAACCGTTTTCTTGCTTCATGGCGGTGCTCAATAATGATAAATCCACGCCTTTCGAGTGTCTAGCTCACCAGGCTACCTGGCAAGGCTATTAAGACAATGCGAGGCTGCCTTATAGAGCCTTGGGACAGACCTGACACGGCTAATACAGAAGTGTTTGATGGCGAAACTCAGCCCTTTGGAGATGTTTGTCGTGCAAACCTCTTACTTGTTTCACATTTTAATCTCGAAGTTTGGTGGGCATGAATGAAATTTACATTTGGGGGGTGAGTCGGATGACCCTGCCAGCATACCATGCAAAAGGTGCTGAATTTTTGTTTTTGAGGGAGCCGGAAGAAGCCAACCATTCTCCTGTGGACCAAGTAATTGCTTACCTT